GGCATTCTCCAGGCATCCTCCATTTTGTAAGCCCTGCATCCTGGGCTCAGTAGCCTTCATAACTGCCTGAAGTACTATAATGTATTGTGTGGAGGGATACAGTGGGAATTAGTGTGAAGTAAGCACGAAGGAGGGGCACAACAAGGCCTATTTCTCTGATACAAGATGTAGCAAGCTCCCGGAGAATTTTAAAAGCAGGAAAGAAAATTTACCCTGGATCCTGGAATGAATCAGAAAATACAATAGCTTGAGAAACGGGTGATGTCATCACATTTCTCATGGTTCTTTGCAATTATTAAAAAGCCGGTAGCAGCATTTTGCTAATCCTCATGTCTGAAGGGTGTGTCGGGGATACTAGAGAGAAAGATGATGTGATGTATAAGAATGTTAGAAGAAATATTGAAAAGGAATGTTACAGACATGGTGAGATCAGAGATACCTGGACCTTTCTTTATACATAGAGGAAATGCCCTTCACTTCAAAAGCTTTCTAAGGGTACGTGTATTTGCATTTTATTTATACCATTTGCATGAAATAAATTAAATTATGCCAGTGACTGATAATTTCTGAAATAATTTGGCACCAAAGAATGTTTACTTGCCGGATCAGATATAATGTACAGGAAAAAAAGTAAATCCTAATCAGAGAATTCTCAGGCACCACAGAGTTACTGCTGATATACTCAGCAGTGTCTATGTCACTCAGTGTCACTGCTGACATTGAGCATTTTTTTCCAGGACAAATTGCTTATTACCGTTATTTGAACTGAACTTACCACACTGTTCAGCACTAACACTTAATTGTGGCTTCCAATAGTGTTAGAATTTCCATTTCAGATTTTCATAGGCATCATTTCTGTTATCAACAACTTTGCAAGCAATACACTGACTTAGGCAACACGGTGAAATAGCAAGTTAATTAATGCATCAATCTATCACCAGAGATCTGGGTTTAAATGCTGTCTTCTTGTCTTTGGTAACAGCTGAAGAGGAGTTTGGCTGCCTTGGGACAGAGTATAGAAATTATCACAAACTTTGGCATGCTGAGCAACTTTTGCTTAAGGGGAACTTAATATTACAACACCAAAAGTGTAGTGGGCAGGAGCCAGACTAGAAGGGTATTGGGAATATTTCAGGACAATTGCCTGTCTCCCACCAATGCTAACATAGTTCCCATGAATTCAAAGATTTATCTACCAAGAATCACAACCAGAAAGATAAGATCAACATTTCAAGAAAATACTTTTCACACTGCTTCATTTTAAAGGACAAAGCTTGATTTTAAATGGCAACATTCTATTATTCTTTTGGTATAAAAACCATCAGTTTTTAATTGGACAGTGTATAGTACCATGCACGGTAATGCCGAAATACAGGCCACAATGCCGCCTAGTGTTGCCTTGATAAGGGAAGTCACCATATAAGAGACTTCCTTTAAACTAAGGGATGTGGATCACCTTACAAAAATTGCAACTTGTTCTTGCCCTCAAAACAGAATTGGAATGCTCTGGAAATTCCTTCTTTGTTACTTCCTATTATAGGTGAAATCATGTCATAGTTTTAAAAAAATCCCTTTGAATGTTACCTTTCTATATTCCCTCCACCCCATTTTCCTAACTAGCACATTTAGAGAGAAACTACAAAGAGTGTGGTTATTCAGCATAAAATATATGTATTAAGTGGGAGAGTATAGCATTCTTGCAAAAACCCATAGGGTAAAAACATTTTTCACTCTGTAGGTTTTTTTTTTTTTTTTAAGAATGAATGAGGGTTGTGTGTGTATTTTAAAAGGGAGAACATGTTTGCCCTTAGGATATCATAGTTTCTACTCACTACTGCAGTAATAAACCTACAGTAATCATATATAAGGCAACTTCTCACAAAAAATGCTGTAGTACATTGTTCCCCAAGGCTATGTCTACACTGCAGTTTTTTTGAAGAAGAGGAGATGCCAATGACATGCTCATTTGCATATCTTCTTCCGATTCTTTTTGTGGAAGAGGTTTTGCCGCTAAAAACCCTATTTCACAAGATCACCTATTCCTCAAAAATCAAGGTTTGCAGGATCTTGCGAAAAAGCATTTTTTTCCCCCAACAAATGGCCCCATCTACACAGGGCTTTTTAGCTAAAAACCTCTTCCATAAAAAGAATCGGAAGAAGATATGCAAATGAGTGTGTCATTCGTATATCCTCTTCCACAAAAAAACTGCAGTGTAGACATAGCCCAATTCACCACAAATCAAACACTGTGCTAAGACAACAGTCATCTGAGCAAGCCCCAATCTGGTCCACCGATTGCATCCAAAGACTATTTTTGGTCAATTACTGTTATTATTCAGCTGGATCTTTTCTTTCTCTTCATGCCACAGAAGGTCTCTGGAGAAAAGACAAAGCATCTGAGGCTTTTAAAAAAAAAGGTGTATGGAAATAGGGAGAGGGGAGAATACAGTGGAACAACTAACTATCCTACTACAAAATATTATTGAAGACAAGGAGTGATGAGGTGCATTCACAGAAGACCCATTGGGGTTGGTCCCTGGTGTACTGATCATGCCACTGCTTTCTTGCTTCCTGGGACTCCCCACCAGACAGAGCTCAGAGCTGGGGTTACTATTCTCCTTAAGAGCAACAGAGACACTGAACCATTTCAGCTCTGGGAGAATGTAGTTCAAGGGCACAGCACCCATAAAACCGGCCCCCAAAAGAGATCAAATTCTCAGATAAATCCATCTTACTCTGAGTAAAAGTTTTACACAAAGAAAGCTCATGAGGATGTTCACCTTCTTCAGCAATGAGTGAGAGAGAACATGCACACTGATTGCTCCTCCCAGGTAACTGTTATTTACACTGGGTCTGATAGTAAACAAAGGCATTTTTATTAAGTACAAACAGTAGGATTAAACAAAATACAGGACTATGTAGCACTTTAAAGACTAACAAGATGGTTTATTAGATGATGAGCTTTCGTGGGCCAGACCCACTTCCTCAGATCAAATAGTGGAAGAAAATAGTCACAACCATATATACCAAAGGATACAATTTAAAAAAATGTGTTCATTTTTTTTAATTGTATCCTTTGGTATATATGGTTGTGACTATTTTCTTCCACTATTTGATCTGAGGAAGTGGGTCTGGCCCACGAAAGCTCATCATCTAATAAACCATCTTGTTAGTATTTAAAGTGCTACATTGTCCTGCATTTTGCTTCAGCTACACCAGACTAACACGGCTACATTTCTATCACCAATCTGGAGGGGAGCTAGAGCGTTAGTGTGGGAACCTTGAGTCTCGAGGGCCACACTCACGTGAGCTGGGGTATTAGGTTCCTCACCCCTGCTTTAAAAACAAAACCTCTTACTCTTAAAAATCGATCCCCGTATCTCTGGTCGGACCACCTTCACGCAGGTCCTCCGGGATTAAAGTGATTGAAAGTTAAAACAGACAGATCACAGTAAGTTACTAAGTTAAAATAAAAAAAAACACATTGCAAACACTAATTCACTAAAAAAATGTATTGCAAGCAGAGTCTTACCCTAATGAGCTGTTCTTGTTCTAGGCTTAATCTTCCAGTCAGAGAGTCTTTTCCCTTGATCTGTGTTCCCAGCGCTCTTTGGAGTGTGTCAGGCAAACCAAAGACAAAGATCTGATAGCTTCCCATTGCTTAAATAGTCTTTACCCCAGGGCGGGAACCTTTTGTTCTGCATTCCTCCTTCCATGGAAAACTACCATGATCAAAATGGAATCCCAGTACCAGGCGGTATGGTCACATGTCTTACTAAAGTCAGTCACCTTTGGACTTACAGGACAAACAAGGCTGTTTACAAGTCGTTATTTTGATCTGGTCCTTAAGGCTTCTGGGGGAGGAGTGGGCACCAGTGCTGGCTCTCATTAGTATATATAAAACTATAAACAGTCTTCTGGTTCATATTTCTAACTTCACATACAAGAATGATACATGCACCAAAATAAGATTTACAGATCCAGCTGATTGTAATGTTTAAATTGATAGGTTACATCAATGTTTAAATTGATAGGTATTTTGTTCAAAGCATCTCTGAGTTATGCATATTAATATTCATAAGCTGATTTTCATAAGACATAGGGGAAAACTGTCACACAAAGCACTTCAGACTTTATTGCACAGTATACTAGGTGAGGGCACAGCATTGACTTCACCTAAACTACTTCACTGGAACAGGATAGAGAGGGAGGCTCTGATACTTAGTGCTATAATCACGTTTTTCCTATGAAGCTTTCAGAGTCCTTTTGACACCGTATCCCCTCTCTCCCTTTGGATGCCGGAATGGAGGTGATAAGGGATGATTTATCCTTTTTGCTACCTCAACCACACTGTGGTTGCTTACTGTACACATGTCTTCTTTCCTCTACCACTTATTTAGGTGACTAAATGTGGATTTTAGAATCTACCTTTAGGCAACAAGGAGAAAAGTTTCAAAAGCACAAAGGGCAATTAGGTGTCTTATTCCCATAGGTGTCCAACTCCTGTTGAATTTTAAACAAATGGTAGTTAGAAATTCAACAGCAGTTGGACCCTTTTGGGAATTAGGCACTTAATTGCCCTTTGTGCTTTTGAAACTTTTGAATTTCTAAATATCTATTTCAAAACCTCCCCCCATGTATCTTCAGAGACTGCTGGACGGTCATTATTAACTGCAGGAATTAACTCCAAGGAACTGCATTATTAACTCCAAGGAATTGTGCCCTCCAAATTCTAACTGGTTACAGATGATGTGTTATAAAATAGAAAAGTACTGATCATTTTTTGTTATAACGGAAGAAGTCCCTTTTATTGAAATAACAGTTGCAATCACTAAAAGCAACAAAGTCAATTTTTACCCAATGTGATATCTGATTTAACACAATATTTCCTTATGCTTAGAATCAGAAATATTGTGGTAACAAAACTGTGACACAATTTGTGGACACCTTTTAAAGCAGTGATGATGTATTTCCATAAAGGTACGAGAAAACTACCACGCACTCAAAACATTCACTGTGTTGCGTGTTGTGTCCGCTAGTTTTTACATTTTTCATCCCTTTCTAGGTTCTTCCAAGACATTTTTCTAGGCAGAAAAGGTTCCTTTTTGTGGCAGGCATCCCTTCATTCCCCTCACTAGAATATGATTCTTAGACTCCATTCTATTCATTCATGCTCTCACCAAGGGAGCAGTACAGAATCCACTTATGCATCTCCTAAGATTGAGTCCCAGCTCAAACTCTTCTCAGCGTGTAATTTTTTATAAAATCAATACACAACTAAAAATGAATGCTTAGAATTGAGAAAATTGCATTTAATTGCTCTGCAGACCTGAAAGTCATTTTAATAACAAAAACACACAATCAAAAGGAAACAGCTTTTGTAAACCACTGGGACACAAAACAAAAATAAAGCATGATGGGGAAAATTCCTGTTTACTTCAGTAGAGCAGACGGAGGTTCATTGTTTGCAAGAACACTTTACAAAGAAAATAAACTCATAAAGCTCTAGTTACTTTTCTTGTTTCGCTTACTTTGTTCACATAATATGTATAATATTAGGACATTCCATATAAAATGTATTTTAATGTACCACTATTTTATTTTAGATTTCTCTCATCTCTGTATGAAGCTTTGCAATTTTTGAGTAAAAACATCAGGTATAGTCAGATTGCAAACATAAATGAAAAAATAAGGCTCCTGTGTTTAAACATCCTGAACCTAACAACATTAAATGTGCAACAAATAAAAACAGCTCAGTAACATTTCTGTATGTGATGTATCTAGGCTTTCAAATTTGGCAGCTGAACTGTAAATTCCTGGGTTTGACTAGCAAATAATTAGGATGTGAGGAGAAAGACAGAGGGGCATTTTACGTTACAAACTCGTAGTTGACTTATGCCTTTCTAGCTTCACCAAGCATGAGTGTTCTGGTTTGTAGAATGAATTTATACTATAATGCTGGCACATCAATGGACAAGATCCCTCAGAGTTCTACACATGGATCTTCATCTTTGTTTGCCATTTGGCAGATGATATTCTTTCAAACTGGGTTGTCTGTTTAAGACAAGCATTAAAGGTCAGTTTCTCCATTGCAGCACCTTTGAATTTAATAATACAGAACTTCATTCTTTTTGTTTATTCCCAAAAGTGAATCCTCCCTTGTAGCTTAAATGTGAAGCATAGTTTTTTTAAGAAGCTGAATGATTGAAAGAAAACCCATGTTGAAAATGACATTCAGTGCTAGATCTTTAACTAATATAAATGGAGCTATGCCATCACATCTATCATTGATTTCAGTGTAACTAGGCACAGGTATAGCAGCTGGGCCACAGTTTTTGTTTAAATGCAATAAAATATCCTATCTGTTTTGGAGCTAATTCCTTCATTTGATAATAAATCTAAAAAAAAAATCATCTACAACTTGAAAAACAAATGTTGATACATTCTTGGCTTCACCCTCTAATTGTATTGGAAGCTCACCATGGCCCTTGCAGTCAACTAGATTCCTTATCACAACAATTCCTCACATTTCCCTCTAGACAGAAAATATTTGTCAATTAGAAGACTTACATGGCATTGCCTGGGTCCAGCCTGGGGTGGGGCCGCACACCCTGACTGCTGGCTTCTCACCAGGTTAGCCCACCAACGTGGGGGGGAACACCCCGGCTGTGGGCATCTTCCTGGTGCCAGATGGGGGGCACCCCCATTCTTCAGCTACACCTTGGGGGTGGCAAGGCTGGGGAGCATGCACCAAGGCTGGCCTGAGGGCAGGGACACCGAGGACACCCAGCAGTCCCAACCTAGTTGTGCGGAGGAGCAATGCAGGCCTCCCAGCAGCATTTCAGGGGCCCAGCCCAAGGGTGGAGGAGAGCCACACAAGCCGCCCACCGGTGCCCCTGGCATCAGCCCAGAGGTGGGGGGAGCTGTTCACCCCAGCCACCAACTTCACCCTGGGGCTAGGCTGGGGGTCGGGTGGGACCGCAGAGGCTTCCCTCTGGCTTTCCCTGAGGCCAGCTGAGGAGCAGTGGGGGCACAAGGCATACTGCTAGTGCTCCCCAGGGCCCAGCTTAGGGGTGGAAGGAGGCCACACAGGTCACCTACTGGCACTCTCCGGCATCGGCCTGGGGGCAGGAGGGGAGCTGTGCATCCCAGCCACCAGGCTTCACCTTGGGGCTGGCCCTGGGTGGGGAGGTCCCTGAAGCCTGCCAATAGGTGGGGATACAAACAAACATTTCACTGGCATTCATCAGGCCTAGGACAGAGATGAGGGGGCCACATCAGCACTCCCCCGGAGATGAGGGGGCCACATCAGCACTCCCTGGGATTGGCCAGGGTGCAGGGGCCATGTGGGCCATCTGCCAGATCTCTCCAGAGCTGACACGTGCAGAGGCTGGCAGCTGCTACCTGAGGCAGCCCAGAGTGTTGGCTGCTGCCAATTGGGGTGATTGCTGCCCCCTGTGGTCATTCTACAGTATAACTCCCTCCTACCAGACTCCTTCCTTTCCATTTTATGAGAAGCAATTGATTTCTAGGCACATCCCATTTTCCTGGCACAACCAGACCCTGACCTTGCTTTAGGATAAGATAAAAGGAAGCTGCCTACCAAATTTGGTGGTCCTAGCTCTTATCATTTAGGAGGAGTCCTTGAACAAATGGACTCACAGATGGACAAACAAGCAGACACACCTTTCTAAAATATATAAATAAATGCATCAAATATTCAAGACGTATAATAAAAAAATGCCTTTCATTATTGCAGTATAGCTTAGAGTGTGGAAAGAGTTAAAAGTATTGTAACTATTATCCATTGGCTATTTATGGGTATTTAATCCATTTCAGTGCTTTACCTCCCTTCTAGTGAAATATTTTTTTCTAAAATCCAACCTAGACCTCCCCCACTGCAACTTGAAACCATTGCTCCTTGTTTGGTCATTTACCACCACTGAGAATAGCCTACTTCATCCTCTGTGGAACTCCCCACTCTCTTTTGAGTAGTTGAAAGCTGCTATCAAATCCAGCTATCAAATCCAACCCCAAACTCTTCTCTTTTGCAGATTAAATAAGCCCTGTTCCCTCACCCTCTGCTTGTATGTCACATGCTTTCATTGTCCTCTGCTGGCCTCTTCCAATTTGTCCATATCCTTTCTGTTGTTTCCCAAGATGTTCATGGCTGGAGCCTGATGTTTAAAAATAGGGGGTTTTTTCATGTTTTCTGATGTTATGCTTTTCTATGGTAAAAACATAAGATTCTGGTTGGGACATGAGCTGCTTCCTGCATTAAGTTACCACTTTATAAAATTCTGTACTGACTTTCACATTCTTTTGGTAGGGAGGAAGATGAGGAGGACAAAAAACAAAGAGTCTTCAGAAGATGCAAAGGATCAGGGAGCAGAATGTCTGGGAAAACGTATTTTAGAAAACAAATGGGGATTCTAGTGTTAAATGCACAGATTGCGAGATGGTTAATATGCCATTTGGCCGATCTTCATAAAAAATTCCACTACTGTGCCTATGTCTTCCAGCAAAAATTACAAAAATCCAAGCAAAAATGGCTCTCACATGACAAGTGGGTATCATTTCTTCTGCCTCAAGGCAAAAACATAGCCATTTCGTCAAAACTCCAAACAAAATAAGTCCAATGTGGGTGTGAAACTGTGCAAAGCAACCCAAAAAAAAGTCATAAAGAATTTCATAAAGTAAAATTTT